CTTTTTCATATGTATCTGATTAATCAAGCATGTGAACTTAGTTTCGATCAATACAATCGTGTATCCTCGTGAATCCGTTTATTTCTAAAGCGGCTCCATGAATATTATTATTTTAATCACTAAATGATTTCTTGAAATAAAAATCGAAACAATAAACATAAAGATTGATACAAAGCAAATATTAACTTTCAAATTTATGTCTAGAGTTTGTTGGTTAATAGATGAAGAAATTAGGTCAAGATTTGGAAAATCTATGTCTAGAGTGATTCAAACCATAAATACATCATTAAAAGCAAATATCTTCATCATCTATTAATCATTAACCTTGTTCACATACGAAATATCAAAAGAAATACATAATAGCAAGATTAACTACCTCTAATCTTGACACAAAAGTGATTTAGATACCCATAACCATGGTAGCTTGCTTCACAAGTTTCGGGAGGATGAATGAGCATCCACGTTGAAGACTCGAACTTGGATGTGAATCCAACTTCTATGTGTAAAATCTCACTCTTTGGTGAAGAAATCTCAGAAAAACTGGTTTTGGTGTGTAAAGTGGGTTATGATCCCCAAAAATGGTCAAAAGTACTTATAAAGTACATACATGATATGTCATGTTCTCATTGCGAATAGATTATTCTCCTAGCGGACATCAAATTAGGCACCTGATGTGCCTCTGCACTGTTAAACAGCCTTTGAGACAACTCTGAAGTTTGTCGTGCGAATGATTATTTGCCTAGCGAACTACTTAGGATACAAGTCTGCATAGCGAACTTATGCCCCTTTAGCTAATGCCTCAAGTCTGGGATGCTTCGCTAGCTATTTGCTGAAGCGTTGCCACAATGAACCTTTGTTGGATTGTTCACATGCCTTTTGCTACTTCCTCAAATCTGGGAGCATTCGATGGTTCTTCGCCAGTTGTTCGCAAATTAAATATTCACTAGCAAGTTTTCCCAGCAAACTTACTGATATTCTTCTTTTCCTTTGGAAACCTTGTTCAATTTCCTTGTGTCTCACACTTTAATGATGTGATGCCTATTTTTTGCATAATAACACACAAATCAAAGGTACCAAAGGTATTTTCAAACAATTGAAGAATGGAAAACTTTCAAGTAGTAATTCCAACAAATCCACACAAAAGAGTTGAAAATGCCCATTATAAATGATTAAATTAAGGCAAGATTGACATCTAATAGATAACATGGAGGTAACACGAACTTCTCCTTGATGACCCCCTCTGCAAGATTGGCGGTCCCAAGGTCTTCGCCACACTGCCTTTTCTTAGCTGAATGTTCTTGAGAAGCTGGAGACTGGCTGCCCTGGGGCGAGGAGGAGGAACTGCCAAGGATTTGGTCAATCTTCGACAGCTTTTGGACTTGGGAAACCCAACCCTTGGGGGATTTCTTGGTACCCTTGGCCACCATAATCTTGAGCATGCGCTCCTAAAGGCTTGACATTTTACCTGCAACAAAGTAAAGAATACGGGTTAATATAACAAAGAGGAATAAGCAGACACACAAGTTGAGAACACGCTCGCTACCTAAAAGTCTTAAGGCTTCCACGATGGAATCGCACTCGAGGAGCGCCTTGGTGTTGATTAGCCGAGCCTCGTAAGCAACCTCTCCATCCTCGTTAAGAATGAAGCTCCCATCCTTGTTCACGCACTTGGCGGGGACGAAGCTATCAACAAATGTCACGAGCTTTTCATAGGCACGCTGATCCTCGGTGTCCAACTCATTGGGCTTCGTGATCTAGTGATCTGTCCCTTTGTTGAAATAGACCCTCTGCTACTCGAGGGGAAACTCCACTTCTAGCCTCACCACCTCTCGCCCATCTACGAGCTCGAACACGGATTCGAACATGGAATTGGCGACGCCCTCCGATGCAGGCTTCACGAGGAAGTATCTATCTTTGAAGGCATGAACAAAGTCCATGTATGTTCTAAACAACTTCCTCGGCTATTTGAAGGACACCCAATTGTACTGCCCATGTGAAGATTGTTGCTGAAGGTAAAAAAAATGGAAGAATAGTGAGAGTGTGGCGCCGATCCAAAGATGTTGGCATATGAGATCGAATGCCCGCATAAACACGATCGTGTTCGGGTGGATCTGAGTGGGTGTTAACTCTACCCATTGGAATATCCCCACTTGAAAGTCACTGAAGGGCAGACGAAGCCCTGCTCCCAGAAGGCAAACTCATACATGGATAAGCGTTTCCCCTCTTATGTCGAACATATCCGATCCATTTCTTTGGGTTTGTACGTCTCCCAGTTTTCAGGGGCCTCTTCCTCTCTGTCCTCGACGATTGTAAAAGCATCTGAGTCATCAAAGGCGAAACACGAAGCAATTTCCCGGGGCTCTTGCCCGACCCAATCCAACTGGGGTTCAATGTTCATGTCGGTCATGTTGGCTTCGACATTTATGTCGACCATATCGGTGTCCTCGGTCTGTCGAGCCATTTAACCTAAAATACAGAGGAAACAGTGACTTCGACGTTAAGATCAAATCCACCTTTCCACTGAAAATCAAGTGAAAGGGAGAGGAAAAGCTCGAGGACACGTCCTCGACCAAAGCCCTTATTGACAAGCACGTAATCATGAGGAACTTCTCCTCGACATAAGACATGAAACCCACTATCCGCAGGGAAGAAACTCCTCGACACGAAGATTCCTTGTCAGAATCTTCAAGTGGAAGAAGCCTCCTCGACACGAGACTTTTTTAGAGTTTCTACACCCCTGCGAGGAGGAAGTCTCCCCGACGCTAAGCCCAGTGAAAGTTCAAGAACTTTGAGCTTCATCGGAAACTTCATGAGTTCCTCATAAGCTTCATCGAAAAATTTATGAGTTCCCCAAAAACTTCATCAAAAACTTCATGGGTTCCTCGGGATCTTCATCAGAAACTTCATGAGTTCCTCGAAAACTCCATGAAATTCATCAGAAGATCAAGAACGCCACCGAAAAACTCATAGAAATACCCAAAAAAATGCATAACCTCATTGTAAAGTTCATAAGCATCGCCAGGAAACACATATTTTGTTTTCTTCCTACTCGAGATTCGACGGCAGTCGACGATTGAGGATGGCAGAACCACGTTAAATGCCAATACTCGCCGGAACTAGATCCTAAAGCTGCATTCTAAGGCTAACCACCACCAGACAAACTGAGAAAGGAAGCGAAGACTTACTTGAGTGAAGAGGATGCTGGAGATATACGGTGACGGAAAGAGGCCTGACGCCGACAATGACGACGACAAGCGAATGTGGGAGAGAGCAGAAAAACCTTTGAGAGATTCTTGAAGAGCTTGAGAATACTGCGAGCGTACCAAATGAATCTCATTTCCTCCTACTTATATCCTCTGGCACGAGAAAACAAATTGTCACCTAGATCCTTGAGTACCCCTATTCGTAGGCTGTCAGAGCCATTTATCATTTTTGACACGTGGCTAAAAGAGATTTCACGCTTGTCTTTTCAAGCTCCATCACGTGGCTCAAGGAAATGGCATGTCTGCTCCTTCCACTTCCATCACGCGGCCCTAAGTTTTTCGTTCTAAGTCTTGTCAACATCCCAGAGTCCAAGAAGTCGAGTGCGATGCTCGACTCCCACGTTGTATCGCGAGCACGTCCTCGGAGGAAGGCTTGGAACAAGTTACATTGTCGAACACAGATAACAACTTTGCCCCCATTGCAAGCACATGGCCTCGAGACAAACCTGAAGCTGAATCTTGTCGTCGAGCACTCGTGAACCACGCGGGTAGCGACTCGACGAAAATATTTTTTACATGATCGTCTTGTCGGGCACAAGGAGGGACTTTCGCGCTTCCTCGCAAATGTAGCTCCGCGAGCTCACAGCCACGAGTCCGAACAAACGCTCTCCTCGCACGGATTTCCTTCATCCCTCTTCGACATGTGAACCGACTCTAAGTCATTACTCCCCTGACTGAGAGCAACGACTTAGGGGGTTCCTGTTCTTGACTGGGCCTGGGGTTGCCCCACCATCGGACACAGTCCAGTCCAGCTCCGCATCGAGGAGGACCCAACACAGGTTCAATCCTCTATAGCCGTTGGAGGCCACGTTCTCCACGTGCTCCTCACGCGGGAACACGTCACCAACTGAACCCACGCCTTTCGCGGGGCGCTTTCACCCTCGAGAACAAGTCATCCACTTTCTGGAGTTCGTGGGGCAGTTGACTCAGGATGAAGATCACGTGCTGGTATTCCCTACTTTCACGTAGGATCCTGACAGTCATCCATTGTGGGTCTAACAATTCAGTCCACAACAGATGACCTTTGGCCCATCACTGAAGGCTTTATAAACACCCTCCTCCGCAGGAGGGTTAGATATTCTAACTTATTCTCGTTGTACTGACTTTTCTCTTCACTTAAATCTTATTTTAGTATCAGAGTGTCTTACAGGTACACCTCCTCCTCTTCTCCGTTACCGACAAATTTAAAACAGACGACGTGGTGTTGACCGCTGATTAAATTTTTAATCTCAATAAAAATCAATTATAAATATTACTCTTTACCAACTAATATTTATCCCGACATTAATAAACTAACTTATATATAAAATAAAAAATCTAATTAAAAACCAGTTAATTTCTATATTCTAATAGAAAGTTTCACTTTATTTGAATGTATTTAGCATAAAATTAAAATGATCCCATCTTAAACATGGTAAAAAAAACTCTTGTGGTGCTTTCATATTTTATAATTATGAATCTCTTTGTATTGTCCTATTCTTGGTTCATCTCATACCTCAAATAAGCTTCCGATCCAAGCAAGGTATATATATATATATATATATATATATATATATATATATATATATATATATATATATATATATATATATATATATATATATATATATATATATATATATATATATATATATATATATATATATATATATATATATATATAACGAAACAAGAACGAAAGTCGACCAAAACAACGGGAATTGAAAAACTGTGTCAAATATCAACCAGAGTTTATGCATGGCAAGCGCAGGTATATACCGAAGAACCCTCCCTCCCCCTTCAATCGAGTTTTCATCACCGGAGGGAAAGAAAATCTTTACCGAAGCTCTTGCGAAGGGAACAATGGAGGGTTTCTTCAAGTTAATTTCATACTATCAGACTCAATCAGAGCCTGCTTTCTGTGGTTTAGCCACTATTTCTGTTGTCCTCAATGCTCTTGCTATTGATCCCGGTAGAAAATGGAAAGGTACTTTCTTTTTAAGTAAGCCCAATTTATTGTTTAATTTTCCTTAATTGATTAATTTTTTTTTAGATTGGAAAGTAAGTAAGCTATTTATGGTTGAAATTTGCTTTGATGCAAAAATGAGTTAAATGATTTATGTCTTGATACATTCATATAAAATGATTTTGAACCAAAGGAAATTGATGGTTAAAATCAATTCTAGAGGCAAAAGCTTCAAATTATTGCTTGTTAGATTCAATACTAGTTGATATTACTTACTTTACCATTTAAAGTGAATTGGTTAGAGAAGCCAGATCTTGATGGGTGAAAAATAATTGAAAAGTAATGACGGACTTAGTGAACAGGTCCTTGGAGATGGTTTGATGATACAATGTTGGATTGTTGTGAGTCTTTGGACAAGATTAAATCACAAGGCATTACATTCGGAAAAGTTGCGTGCTTGGCTCGATGTAATGGAGCTAAAGTTGAAGCCTTTCGATCGGATCAGAGCAATATTGATGATTTTCGCAACCGTGTGATTTCGTGCTCTTCTTCTGAGGATTGTCATGTCATTGTGTCTTACCTCAGGACTCCACTTAATCAGGTTTTGTAAAGGACCCATTCCCCTTATGTTAGTTAGTTTTATCACTTTATGTTATATATTCATAAGTAGTGTAATAACATTCTTTTATCTGGCTGATGTTCCCAGTTAAGGTCTTCTTTGGATTAGCTTTTAGCTTATGAGTTATGAGTGCTTGATTCAATTAGCTTTTAGCTTTTAGCATTTAAAATGATGGAAACTTGTCATATTGTTGGGCAACAGACTGGAACTGGGCATTTTTCACCGCTTGGAGGATATCATGCTGTAAGAGATATGGTCCTTATTTTGGATGTTGCTCGATTTAAATATCCTCCTCATTGGGTTCCCCTTACCATTCTTTGGAATGCATTGAATACCATTGATCAAGATACTGGACAACATAGGGGGTAAATTTTTGTGCATTGTTAATTTAAGCATATTTGTTTATTCTAATGTCTCTCACAATTTTGTAAACAAAATGTAACTTTTACTGCCGCTTCTATCAAATTGTATCGTGTTTCCTTTCACTAAAACTAAACACTGCTATGCCTTTTGTTAGTTTGAAAATTATACCTCTGTGTATTCACATTAAACAGAAGATATAACAAAGCAGAACCCCGGAGGATGATCATTGTTCAAAATTGTCAAGGATAATATTCGATGATTTTCTGGTGAATTAGTTATACTCATCCATAAATTATAGATGTAGATCTTCCGAGTCCTTTTGGTGAATTTTTGTTACAAGGACAGGAGGGGAGGGTGGACATCAAGTTTCATTACAGTCATGTTGTAGAACTTAACTTGTGACGGAAAAGGGTGGTAGTGAAATACCTTTACCTCATATCATAGTCGTAATGATTGCATACACTAAACTCTTGTTTCACCGCCATATTTGTCTGATTGGTAGTTATCTGCTGTTGTAGTTTGGCTTAGCTTTATTCAGTATTTAGAAATTATACTATTTAATTGTATCCTTGATACCATTAATATCTGTTAATTTTTGGGATTCGAAGGTTACAATTTTATGAAATCTTGAGTTTTTAAAGCGTGTGCAATTAATCTTGTTGCCCTTCTTTTATATTTAAACATTGGTATTTCAGGTACATGGTTATTTCAAGGCTTAACAGGGCACCATCAATACTTTATACTGTGGTAATGTACTACTGGCGGATTCTTGGTCAAACCGTCGAAGAGCATAGATAAATTTTCTAATTTCATGAATTTTTAAGTTAACCACTACAGGAACTTCGTGTGATGGTTGAACTCATACTTTTTTAAGTTAACTAAAACTTTGTGTAGATTCCAGTAAATATTTACTTTATTTGAAGCTATATGCAGAGTTGTAGACATGAAGGTTGGAGCAGTGTTGCCAAATTTCTAACAGAAGACGTTCCTCTTATTCTAAAATCAGAGAATCTAAAAGAAATTCCAGAAGTGCTCTCTGTTGTATATAAATCTCCTCCTAGTGAATTGAGAGAGTTCATCACGTGGATTGTTGAGGTTCGCAGGCAAGAAGACGGGAATCTCACATTGAGCGAGGAGGAGAAAGGAAGGCTAGCAATCAAGGTTTTGAACTATTTACTTTTCCATTTGGGAAAAATTATTTCACTTGAATTTTGATAAACATGTCATGCATAATCAGAGACTTTTCTTGTAAAAGAAAATCCAATAAACAAACAATCGTAATGTTTGGGAGCTTTGAGATTTCAGGCAGATGTACTGGAACAAATTCGGTCAACTGCACTCTTTAAACACGTGATCAGGTGGTTGGATTCAGAAAGATCATGCTGTGATACCATTGCAAACCTCGGTGACAGAGATACTTTGTCAGCGCTTGCAGCACGTGTTTGCTGCCAGGGGGCAGATCTCTTGACTGGTTGTCGTTTGTCGGGTGGAAATTGCTGTAGTAAAATAGATGTAAAACATCTGAACGTTGATAGTGAAAATCCAGTAACGTTAATTTCCGGAACTGTTACTACCACTGGAGGCGGTGGTGAACAAGGAGTTGATGTATTGGTTCCTTTGTGTCAAAGGAAGCCGAGTAGCTTGTGTCTGTGTAATGAGGGTCAGTGCATTGGAATGCACCCATCTACTGCCGATGTCTTAACAGTGCTTTTATTCGCCTTGCCCTTGCATACATGGTCTGGCATTAAAGACGAAAAGCTGCGTGTTGAAGTTGCGAGTCTTCTAACAACTGAAGATCTCCTCCCCTTACTTTCAGAAGAGGTAATGTCCATTTCTTTTGAACCAGTTTTTCGCTCTTTCTATAATCTAAAATTTGAAAAACTTACTAACTGGTTATTCTTGATCCAGGTTTTGTTCTTGCGAGAGCAACTTCACTTTCTGATGACTGATAATGGTGCTCCTTCTACCTGATGATACTCATAATTTTAACTAATGTATCGGGTTCCACAATAAAATTACACTCGACCCGGTTTCTGCATTGGATATGTATTGAACTTGGGTTCAATACAACATGTCCATGCAGTAATGATCATGTTGAATGGTATTGTTCATCTATGATATTAATCGTTTGGCAAATTAAATACGAGATGAAGGATCGACTTTGTCTACGGCATGTAGCTGTGTCATTATCTTACAACAGAAAATCTACGCCCCTTTCTTAACAGTTTTTAAAATTTACCATTAAGCTTCTAAAATCTGAAGTGGTTGAATCTAGCCTTAAGACTCATTGATGACCACGGTTGGCTTAGATGGTTTTTCTCAATCAAGCAGTAGAAGTAGGTAACAAAGCCTTAGGTAATAATGACATTGTTGTTGAAAGCTTCATCAAATCAATTAAATGGTAGGAGATTGGTAACTTGAAGAAATTGTAGAATTCATTGATAGCATTCATTGATACCAAAGAAGTTAATGCCCTTCCATGTTCATAACATGGTTATGAATTGGACGTTGAAACATAACTCACATTGATGACACTGATAGGGAGAAGTTATGTACTATATATCTCAATTCTATTTCACTGTTGATAAACCCGATATATTCTGATTAAGAACTAATTTCAAATTCGAGACTTCTGGTTAAGAGGTTAAAGTACTATTTCATTTTGATATATCACTCCAAACTTCTAACAAAAAAATGTACAATTTTTTTTTATATAAAGAAGAATAGTAAATGCTTCGGAATCAATATTAAGTTTGTGTCTATAAAAGTTAAACATGAATGATAGGAAATTACTTACATCCTGAAAGAGTTCAACTGTTATAGTTAAAGTGAATTTTTTTTTGGAAAAATCTGTAAATATTCTTTGACTCTAGAGATTCATCCTAACTATGTTGACTTCTAAAAATGTAACCCACTTATATATTTTTATAAAAAAATAATAATAAACTCATGGTGCAAGTTTTTAAGTTTGTAGGATAATTTATGAAATTGTTGTGGAAAAATATTTTATAAAAATTTTAAAATATTTAAATGCGTTTTCAGACGCACCATGAATTTCACTGAAACACACCTCAATTGAGTCACACTCAAAATATTTTTTAAAATTTTATTCGAAGATGCATCTTCGAAATCATTTTTCACCGAAACGCCTTTTATATATATATATATATACATAAATAGATCCGGAGATGCATCTCCGTATTCACCACGGACAAAATTCAGAGATGCATTTTCGTACTCACACTATACAATAATTTTTAAAATTTTTAAGAGATGCATTGATGAAATTGACGATGTATTATAACTATACTATTGCATTCAATTTTATATAAATTAAACCATATAGTTTCATAATAATATGAAAATGACATATATAAATTGATAAACCCCGAGTACACAATGATGTAAAAAAAATACAATCGATAATAGTGTTCCTATACAAATACTATATACTACTACGTATGATAAACTCGAGTTCCCCCTGTTCTTACGTTGCCTCTTGTATTGCGGTACCTCTCGTGCCTCCCCCATGATGGCATCTAGAACGTCTCTCACTTAAGAGCCATCTAGAAAGATTCATATGTCTATATCCGTCTGTCCCAAGCTCCATGATACGACGACATCTAGGAAACACATCAACATGAGTCTGCTCCTCCTCTAGTATCCTAATGAGCAGGCTTATGTGGATCTCCCGGAGCATCTGATGTCATATAAGGATGCGACGTTCTGAAATATCATTAGATGTAGCCGTGTGTAGCACTCCAATCGATAGGAGCTATGGTACTCCGTGCCTCATCCAATACCAGATGATTAAGGTAATCATCATACATGGAATCAATATATCTACGTCTCATATGAAGGTGAGAAAAATGCATAAGAAAGGGGGTTGAATTGTGTAAGCCAAAAAACTCGTCCCACTTCTGAATTCAGGATCTCATAATCTGAACCACATTAAGAGTTTGATGTTATAGTTAGTAACAACAACAAAAACAAAATAATCAAATGTAAAAGCAGATAACACACGAAATTATTTTGGTTCCTCTTCTCAACTGAGAGTAATTCAGTCCCATTAACTCAACAAGAGCTTTTCCAAACTAACAAATGCTTAAACCACTGCTCAAGACTTCCTACTCAATCAACCTTGAATGAGACTTCATTGCTTTAGCCACTGCACAAGACTTCCTGCTTAAAATCTTGGTTCAAGACTTCCTTGCTCAAGCACGCAGACAAAAGACTTCCTTTACTCTAAACAAATAGTTTAGTAGAAAAGATGACTAATATACTTTGATACATAATCAGAAGTATAACAGTTGTGCAACAATCATAAAGGTTTTCATTCTTTCTAAGATTTCTAAGATAAATCTTACATAAGAAATCTTAAGATCTTATGTTATAACAGTTACAATAACAACTCAGATTTATGCTAAGATCTTTCAATGTGTTATGATGTTGTGACCTTTCTTTGAGTCTTGACCTTCCTTTTATAGACACGGAAAAAGATTTGTTGGAGGTTTGACAACTGCAAACTTAGTGAAGAAGTATGTCAAGAGAGACGTTAAAGACTTACATCTGGTCAGAAGCTTTGTCCACTAAATAATAGCATTATCCACAACAACTTTTGAGTAACTAGGTATCTACCAAAAGGTATTACAAACTGAAGAGGTAACATTACCATCCTTGAGCCTTGCAAAACCAAACCCTAGTTGACTATGTCCAGAAATATGGGACTTTGATAACACAAGTCTGCTTTGGTGTAGTGTACAGATCAACTGCTCTACACATTTGAGGTATCATCAGAAGCTGGGTCATGAGACCAGAGTCTGATGCCTTCAGAGTCTGATGAACATATTCAGATTTTGATCAACCATAATCTGAGTATTGTTTCTTCACTTTGTCGCTACTACGAAAAAGGGCCGGCAAAGACAGAAGAGTCTCCACCGTTCGTTATTTATCCCAAAGAGAGGGAAAGGAAACGATCAGAGAAAACCTACGAAAAGAGGAGAAGACAGGTCATCGCAACCAAATCTTGGGTTCGGGAGTCAGTTACGCAAGGGGAAGGTATTAGCACCCCTTACGTCTGTCGTACTCGACGGGATCCACGCTTGTTATCTATCTAAAGGGTGTTAAACTATCTAAGCTACAAGCCACAGGGACAAAAGAAAAGAAAAGAGACTTGATAGAGCATCGCCGCTCTATGCCTGCGTACTCCCTCGTGCAATGGGAAAGTCAGAGTCAACATAGTTCGGAAAACTACGGCTGAAGGTGGGGAAGGTTGCTCGCCAAGACATCATCGTCTTGTGCCTACGTATCCTCATTTGGTATGAGAAATCAGAGCAAACGTAGTTCGGGCTGACACGACCAGAGATTGGTTCAAATGTTTTACCCGAGTAAGGTTAAACCTTAGTTATAGCAGTTAGGTGTATGCAGCTCGACCATTGGAGACTTAGGCGTTACCTGTTTGCGGTAGAACCAAGAGTTAACAACACTCTTTTATGAAAAAGGTTTTTCATTAATCCCGAAGGATAAAAAGGTTTGAAGTTTGTTTTTTGAGTCTTTTATGAAGAAGAATTGAATTGAATTGTGTTTGTAATTCATGTTGCACTAAAGGCTATGACTTAGGAGCGAATACGTTGCATATCGTCCAAAGGACATACGCTAAACATTCTAGACAATTGAGAGGAGGCCCCCCAATCATCATTTCCCAAATACTTAAGGCTCGTAGCGTACAACAATCATTATCCTTTATTATGTGTTTTGAAAGAGTTTGGAGATGAGAAGAGAGAGAGAGAGAGACACAACTCTAAAAGGGAGACTAAACTCAACCTAATGTTCTCATGCAAAGTACACCTATGATTGAGATGAAAAGGAAAGCTACCCTAATGTTATCATGCTTGGATGCAAACCTAATGTCTATCATAATCCATCTTGAACAAGAAAGATTAGAAGTCCTAAGGGAACATGGCAAAGGAAGACAAAAGAAGAAGAAGAAGAAAGCATAAGTGAAAGAAGAAAGGATGCAAACATGCAATGCAAAAACAAAGATGAAGGAAGAGGGAGGAACAAAGTGTGGGGCAGTAGCCACCACAAGCACATCTCAACCTCTCAAATGTAAACAAGAATATGCAAAACAAAAAGAAAAGCAAACCAAATAACTTAAACAAGTTCAAGCCAAAAGTGAGATGAAATGGGAGAAATGGAATTCCTACAACCACTTAAGCATCAATCACCAAACCACAAGATAAACAAAGAAGGAAGAGATGAAGACATGATCAAGGTGAGGATGGGAGATAAGGTTTGGGCAGAAAGCAATGCAAAAAAAGCACTCAATCATTGTTAGATGCCAAATTTCACTTATTTGATATATCAAAAGTTGGCATTTTTCACTCATTTTTGTCAATTAAGTGTAGAAAACCACTCTTGTTTTGTTTGGTTTGAAATATAGTGTGAAAAGCTCTTGATACCTTTGATTTGTGTGTTATTGTGTAGGAATTAGGCACAAAACAAGTGAAGAGTAAGACACAAGAAATGGGCAAGGAAACCAAGACAATATGCAAACCACCTAAATGTTGTCATGCTCACTAGGCGAAATCAGAGCTGCTGGAAGAAGCTGGAATCTGTCATGTTCGCCTGGCAAAGCTCAGCGAGTGCCAGCGAATGTTCGCGTGGTGAGTGCTAGCGAGCCAGGGTGAGTAATTCAAATTAAACTCCCAGACTAGAAGGGCATGAAGTTTGCCTGGCGAATGGCTCCAGCAAAGGTTCGCTACCATTCGCCTGGCGAAGGAGATGGCGAAGGATCTTTGGATATTCCAGTAGCAAACCAACATAAACTTCGCCTGGCGAGTGAATCCAGCGAAGGTTCTCTTGGCGAATGTGCGATAACTCAGAAGGGCGGTTTGCTTGTTGGAGGCACTTGGAAGTGCCTTGTTTCATTTGGTTGGCCTGGAGAAGGCCCCTGTTCGCCTAGCGAATGG